AATTTGTATATACATAAAATTTTATAGTAACAGTCCTTTTGGAGCAGGCTTCATGATTAAGTCGTTTCAAGCAAAATATTGATACAGAAAGCATCAATATCACTATCGAGTAGGAATGAACACTTTATATTTGATATCAGTTCACAGATAAAATAATTTTGGAGAGATTTTGTGTAGATAATAAATTATCAAATACCTGTATTTCAAGATTTTAATCATGACCAAGACTGAAAGATGTTATAGAAAACAATTTGCTGTCAACGAAGAACGATAGAAATACGTTTCATCTAAAGATTCTGATGAAACTACCGATCTTACGGACTAATACTTTCATCTTGCTGTTTGCTCTCATAATATTGCTACATAACAAATTTTTGGGAAAGAAAGTTTTTGGCTTTCTACTATTCCATCTTGATACAAAAAAAGGATGAGTGAATCTTCCAAAGAAAGGAAGGAAGTAATCAAATTAGAAAATAAGCTGTCGTCCAGAATGAAATGCAGCATTCAAGAAGAACCAGCTGACATTGATTTCAGAGGTCGTGTAATGAAGTATAATTTGTCAGTTTCAGTTGTTTATGACTGAAGTGGTATTTGAGTCAAGAATATTATAAAAAATATTTATTATAACGAACATTATTATTATTTCACAGAAAAGTTCACGTGTTTTACGATTTGATTGATCCTTCAGATGTATACTGAAAGATGAATTGTTGAATACATGTTGCGGATTTGTAAACTGTTCAATGAAACAAAATAAATAAAAGAACAATTTGTTCAGGCCAGTGTTGACTTACCTACACTGTTGTTTAATGGACAAACACCTATCAGAATATAACTGTTTTCCTGGCTAATACTACGAAAGGCGTTGGATGATATCTAACAAGTGTCAGTGCAGGAATCTTAACAGAAGTATTTCCTGCATATACTGTTGGCGATACAACTGCTGGAATCGATTTTTAACTATAGGAACGGGCACACTTGCAGTACGGTTTCGGGCTATTTGGCTTCTTGTCAGTGCAAGGTAGTGGCCATCATCAACCTGAAGTTGATGATATTCCATAATTAAAAATCGAATTTCTTTCAGAGTATCATTCCTCTAACCAAGCTTAAGCGAACGAAAAACAACAAATTTGTCATCGCTTGATCTGGTAAACATTTTTAGCCATTTTTGACAAATAGGATTCGTGTTCTTTCCGGAGTCGCTTACCTGATTTCAGCCGAAGGTGATGATTTTTCTTGGACGTTGACAATCCTTAGCCCCTAAACCCATATGAATGTCGATTCTACTACCTAGCTTTGATACAGGAGCATCCTACTTTCTCTCTCCCTCTGCTATCAGTGAATCTTATTTTCATATATCTTGATGCTTTGGGCGTTTTCGACAAACCATCTACAGATGTCCTGATTTTTGGGATCATAGCCAATCTAGATTCACGCTTCACAAGTTCACTCTATACAACATAATTGTTTTCAGGAAGCAGTTTTAGCAGATTGGAGTAGCTATTGACTCGGTATTCAAGGTATAATCTGGTACACTAGCATCAAGTACCGTTATTTTTGGTTGATCGGTAGCCGGTAGAATTTTAAACTTCCAATGAATACCGTACCTGTGCTGGTACTCCCAAGTGGGGAAAAAATACCTCGGTTATCCTCACCTCGCACAATGCTTGGCTTCCGAGAGTTATCCCTCGTTTTTTAACTTTTCAACAGCAATTAGCCTTGACTGCTGCTTCAAGAGCTGACGGTACATGACCCACGATGACTGTCCATCAAAAATTGGAGTTTTGAGGGTTGTACCTGGTGGAAATCATGTCGCCATTCAGATGAGCGTACTCTAATTGAATGGAACCAGTTCTAGCCTTGTGAGTATGGTCACCTGTTCATTCATTTTATTGTCCATGTATTTCTTGACCCGTTGCGTTGGTTTTTTCCTATCGCGTCATCGAATTATTTCACTTCACCTCTGGAAGTCTGCAGTCTTCTGATTTAGGCTCAGCTCTTTACTCTTCTTCAAAGTTCTTCTCCATCCTCAAATTTTCCATCTTGATTTTTTCAAACCGCCGCTTCCTTTCTACAATCGCCAGAATGAACATGTTTTCTACTTCTCTTGGCAGAAAATGTGCAATTTACCCCGATTTCGTGTGGAACGGGTTTAATAGAAATGGATAGAATAACACATTCGCGAAAACTCTCGGCCTTTTTGACGGTACCACTGATAAAATAGCGATTATTTGTCTCGTCTAATATATAAAAATGGATGTTTGTTGGTTGGTTGGTTGGTTGGTTGGTAAGTGATAAACTTCAACATCGCTCAACCGATCGTGATGAAACTTGACGTGAATAAGTAATTTTTCATAGAGAAGGTTTTTAGGCTACCAGTTTTTCTGTAACTCGCCACCAGATGGCGCTGTAGAACAATTTTTTGAAAGCATTGACTGTCCATCAAAAATTGGAGTTTTGAGGGTTGTACCTGGTGGAAATCATGTCGCCATTCAGATGAGCGTACTCTAATTGAATGGAACCAGTTTTAACCTTGTGAGTATGGTCACCTGTTCATTCAATTTATTGTCCATGTATTTCTTGACCCGTTGCGTTGGTTTTTTCCTATCGCGTCATCGAATTATTTCACTTCACCTCTGGAAGTCTGCAGTCTTCCGATTTAGGCTCAGCTCTTCACTCTTCTTCAAAGTTCTTCTTCATCCTCAAATTTTCCATGTTGATTTTTTGTAACCGCCGCTTCCTTTCTACAATCGCCAGAATGAACATGTTTTATCAAGTTTACGTAAATATAAATACAAAGAGAGTGTTACAGTTTTCGATAATAAATTCATTACGATAGCTTTAGGAATATATTATCAACGAAACGCTGGCAGAAATTACGGGAGTTTGTAAAAACTTTCGAAATCGTGAAGCTTTGGAACTCGATGTTGCCATGTGGCAACACGAGTCCTTTCGGTGAACTACTTTTTTACATTTTGCTTTTTTTTTTCTAGCGATGGGCTAACTCTCGAAGAAGCTCTTCAAATGGCGTATAATGATGATTTAGATGTCGACCAAATTTATATTGAGTCTCCGAATGAGGTTGTGATCACAGATGAAGATTTCGGTGGGGAGGATGAAGGCGGACTCGTTGATACTTCATCTCGGAATCAATTGAATGCTCCAGTTCAACTTGTTTCACATGGTGAAGATGATGAATTGGTTGAACCAGAAACGGAACATGTAGAAAAACTTATGAGGACATTGAATGGATTAAAGGCGATCTGGTAGAAAGTTCAGGAAATTATTGCTGTTCAGATTATGATTTTTTCAAAACTTCAACCTCAACAGAAATGTTTGACTTATTCATAGACCATGACGTACTTTCTTTACTGGTAGAAGAATCAAACAAGTACGCGCAATTTAAAAACTTGCCATCTCCTCAAATTACTTTGGATGAAATGAAATGTTTCATTGCTATTCTGATTTTATCGAGATATTGTCAATCACCTGGAAAAAAAATACTGGAATACTGATGGCGATCTTGGTAACCAACTAGTGATGGATGCAATGAGAAGAGACCGATTTTTAACAATTTGGCGGTATATACACTGCGCAGATAATAATGCACTAGATCCAAATGACAAATTCTATAAGCTGTGACCTCTAAGTGATTTACTGCGGCAAAAATTTCTGAATGTTTTTGTTCCAGAAGAAGATTTAAATTACAATGAGTGTATGGTCAAATACTTTGGAAAGCACTCGTTCAAGCAATTCATCCGAGGTAAACCAATCAGATTGGGATACAAGATATGGTCGCTGAACAGCAAATACGGATATCTTGTGAATTTTTCCTTATATCAAGGCAAAGATAGGCGCGTGAACGAAGAATACCAAATTGTGTTTGGAAAATCTACCGCTACTTTGCTGATGCTACTGGATGAGTTACCAGAAGAAAAGAAAAAACAGCGATACAACCTATTCACAGACAATTTATTTACAAGATTGCACCTTCTTAGTCATCTGAAATCAAGAGGTTTCTCATCCACAGGAACCATTCGCGACAACCAAATCCCTAAAAATTGCCCGTTAGTATCCAAAAATGATATGAGTAAGAAAGAACGTGGTGACTTCGATTCTTGCTTGGAGAGAACTAACGGAATTTTACTAACGTGTTGGACTGACAATAATGTAGTTTCAGCAGCTTCGACCAAATATGGGGTAGCCCCACTTGCTAGTGTAAAACGATATTCAGCGAAGGAGAAAAAATTGTTCAAGTAACAAGACCAAACTTGATTTCCAAACATAATGCATCCATGGGTGGCACGGATCTGATGGATGAAAATATTGCACGCTGGAGGATAAGTCTACGTGGAAAAAATGGTGATGGTGTCTTTTCACATGGCTACTTGATGCCGCAATTCAAAATGCCTGGGTCCTTTAAAAACAGTCTGGGAAGAAAATAACTCAACTACACTTTCGTCAAGAAATTGTCAAAACATACCTCAACAAGTACAAAAATCCACCGAAAGGAAAAGGTAGACCATTTGCAAGTAAATCGAGCAGATCGTACAGCCGTGTTGGTAATGATGTGCGGATATGATAATATAGGGCACCTGCTCACACCAGTGGAAAAAAATTAGATGCAATGGCGACAACTGCAAATCAATTATGCGCACAACATGCATCAAATATAATGTAGGAGTTTATTTGTCATGCAATGTTGAATACCATACACGAATGTAGTTTTTTTCAATCAATAATTTTTTTTTTATGTAACATAGCAGTGTAAGTTACTCGCATTGTCATATGGCAACACTAATTTTTGAAGAAAGTAAGAAAAATTTTATGATATTTTTTAGGCAAATCTATTTGTTTTGTTCTGAAAATACAATTTGGAAATATACTTTTGCAAAATTCTAAAATAAATTAATTCCGTCCTTAATGGGTTAAGGGGAAAACATTTTTTTTCGATAGATTTGATAACAATTGTTATCAATAAAAGTTATCTTAAACAATAAAGCATATTACAAGTAAGTAGGTTCCTGAACAGAATTCTCAAAATTTTGAAGATTATTGAATGATTTAGGACGTTAGTCTCTAGTAATAACTTCCCCACCTCAGCATTTGTCGATGCGGCACAAAGCTCAGATCAAACTTTTTTTTTGAGTATTGTTCTCATGTATGGAGCTCCGCTCCTGAGCATACCCTGAAGCTACTGGATTCCATCCAGAAAAAAAACATCCGCCTGATTGGAAACGCGAACATCACTTGCAACCCTGATAGTCCGGAAAATCGAAGAAAGGTTGGATATTTGTCTCTCTTCTATAGATACTTTNATATGAATTTCGTCAACAAAATATTAATTTGAGAGGAAAAGTAATCCATAAACAGAATTTTCACTACGATGACTGACGGTTTGGGTAGCAGTGTTTTTCCATTCACTAATCAACAATATTTTTTGTGAAAACGCCTGGGTTGAAAACACTTATTACATAATATTTTGACGTCTGTCAAAAAAGTCTCCATGTTTCCAAACAATGCATATTTCACAAATAATATCGCACGTTTTCCTGCTTGATTTGAAATTTCCATATGGTTTTCGATTCTTTGAACTTCCTGTTAAAGAAGTGTTCTTCCTTGTGGACGGTTTCAGTTTCACACTACTCCGTGTTGTGTTGGTAGAACCAAACCTTCTCTGTTATTCTTTTGCTTGTTCTTCTTCGCTGAGTTTTTTGTGCTGTCCAATATGAACTTGCAATTTGTGGAATCGTTGTTCGGTGTCTTAGAATCTGAGAGACTACTAAGGATATTTTTTCCTGATCTGAAACAGGTGCTGTCGTTGTACTCATACCAAATTCTATCTTCTATGCTAGTTCTCTGACTCATAAATGACATATTACTGATTTTGTTGGCGTCTCTTCCATGCGGACTTTTGTCTTTCATTTGTTGTTTGTTTTATCATTTGAAGTAATCATTCCGTTGAAGATATCTTCTGACTTATAGTCGTATTAGTTCCTTGTAAGTTAGTTTTCTGTATACAGAAGCTTCCTACTTGTTGGTCCTCCCCTCCATCATATCTAAAAACAATAGTGTTTCAAACCATTCCATATGTATGCGTTGGTTATAACTGGTTAAAATGGCGATAGCATTAGCAGCCGTCAAGAATTTTCATGTCAAGTGCTTCCTCGATAGCAAAATAGGGAACAGACTTTCCATGATAAACTGATGTCATAAATGCTCTTAGCATGGATAGACACACCTCAGGATCAGGCAGCTGTGTTGATGTTATTCGGTAGAAAATAACAGCAACAGGAGTGATCCTATTATTCCCATTTCCAGCGGTGCTAACGTGGAAGCCGATAGCTAATTTTTTTTATAATTTCATAACCCAAGCTGACATACATGCTAAAGCAGCAAGCAATATTTCAAGCAGTGAGACAATGAACAGTGGGATCTACGACGAATTCGATACATAATCGTCTATCGTAACCCCACGTTCTGATCTATATTCGAAATTCTCAAAGTTGTAACAATCTCAACTCTCATCGCCCTGTCGACGAAATAATCCAAAACACGAACCCCCTTATTCAGATACAAACGCTGAGATTGGAAATCATCCAAGCTGGAATCGATGCCGTAATTGAAACGGAATCCTGGTAGTCGGTTACTTGGCAGACAAGAATACGATACTGCGGCATCAAAAACCGGCGAACCGAACAAATATCATCGGATCCCGATTAAATTTTAACATGACTAATGTGATTTCGAGCAGAAGTTTCGGAATAATTCAGCTTGCGAGAACATTGTTGCTTTCAAAGGCAGGTGCATGCTCCCATCAAGACGACGCGACGCGACGTTGCGGTGGTCGGAATTTTCCCGAAAGAGTTTTCCTCGAGTGTAAGGAACTTACACGGATGTATCTCTTACATGTATGAGCTCCAATTTCGAACTATTGTCGAATCAATATGCGCTCTAATGTCCCTGATATAGTGACATTACTTTCCGAAAGTTCCCGTTCAACATTTATTTGGAAGGATCGCTTCGAAATTTCTTTTCGCTCGGGATTTCAAGAAAGTTTTATGCGGAATATTGCCTTGAATTACCCGATTGGAAATGACCTGGAGGTACAGGGTGCTTGATGTTCGAATATAACTGATAATGTTTGTGACTTTTTGGGGTGTTTTTGTCTGAAATAATTGGGTTTCTTTGAATCGTACTGGAAATGAATTCTTGTAGAAATAATTTTACTTCGCTGAATATTATCATTTCCATTGTTTATTTATTGTTATGATTTGCTAATGTGTGCTTTGCTGATAGCTTGTTTGTAGTAGTATGGGTAGTAGCCCAACTAACAAAACTGTTCTATAATTTCATGGTACTACAGTTTAATTTTTTTTGTATTTCATAATTGCCCCCAGAATGCTAACTGATTATATTAGACGAGCCGTGAACA